AGACAGAGAAGGAGGAAGTTCATGAGCTTTTCCCCATCTCTCCTTTGTGGAATTTCCCAAATCAAAACGTTCACAACATGAAATACCAGTTAGAGCAACTGAACTCTTCATAACTCTTCTCCTATACCACCAAACCATTTAATGGAAGACACGCTCCCCCTCCTGGTGAAAGAATTAATTTGCAAAAGGGGGAAAAAGGGATCAAATAAACAACTATTACCTGATTTAGGTCAACCAAAATAGCCTTTAAAATGCGCATTCATCTTAGTTGGTATAAATATTATGCTGTTTGTTTTGAGTCAAGTTATTTTAGAATCTGCAGAGGAACTTTCACAAACATCCTCGTTCCAAATTTTGCACATCTTTCTTATGACATCCTCTTGTCTCTTCGCTAATATCTATTCAATCTGTCTGTCCTGCTCTGATTTTAAAACATGGAGTTATTTGCCTCAAAGATGCTTTTTCAAAAGGCAACTGGAATTTCTCATTTTTCCTTGAAGATGTTTTGCTTCTCATCCAAGAAGCTTCTTTACTTCTGAAGAAGCTTCAGTCAGAACCTCAGTCAGAACTGAAGAAGCTTCTTGGATGAAAAGTGAAACGTCTTCAAGGAAAAACAAGAAAGTCCAGTTGCCTTTTGAAAAAGCACCTTTGAGACAAACGTGACCTGGATGACTAAGAATCTCCATAGACAAGGAGTTATTTGCTACACAAAATATAGCCATTTTAGAAGTTCCCAGTTATCACTCATTTGTTTCAATGATCTATTCTAGCCTATTCCTCAACATTCTCTAGGCATGTAACACAGTGGACATAACACCTATGAAAAGGACAGACAATATGTATCCCTTCTGAAATTAGTGAAGTCTAATTCTCATCAGCTTCAGTTGGCACAGCAAGAGATGAAGGATTATAAGGACTGTGGTTCTGCAACATCCAAAAATCTATACCTTACTTACCGCTGCTAGCCCCATCCAGACACTATTTCTCTAGATATGAACTTCTGCACTGGGACTGTAACTTTTCTGTCTTGCAGAATTCCTATGTATTTTTACTGTATAAATTCATCATTACCCTCTCCAGCTTTGGACTATCTGTTGGGAGCATGATAAACTATAAGCTATGTGCAGGTATTAAAAAAGTCATCTACTGCTATCAATGATTAGCTTCACATAAAGATTTGAACAACATGGCCACTGTATTTGGTTAGTTCAGATTCTATTTAGCAGCTTTTTGTTCCATATTTTTCTGGCTCCTTTTGGGTGGCAGGAACAAACAAAATGGAGATTCCTGCCCTTCCTGAACTAAAGAGCTTGATATTGATGTTACCCACTAATAGATTTAATCTCAAAATAACAAGAATAACTTTCACAAATAGAATAAGCTACCCCTTTCCAAAGATTAATTTGGGGATAATGCTGAAGAGCAAATATAGTTTTTTCTCCATTGAATTGATCATCATGGTTAGTCTTGGAAAACTATTCTGGAGTAAGTGGAATTTTGATGGTGAGCACTGTGTTGGGTTATTTGAAAAGTTGTGAAAAAACAATCATAGTACAGAATCTGATTTCATCAACAATTTTTGTTCCAACTTTAGGAAATAATCTTGTATTTGAGACTCTTAGTTTGATGAAAGTAGAAAGTTGCTTCTTTAAAGCAATTTTTCCCCTATATCTATAATAAATTACTTAACGGTAAGATACTTTCAATTAAGGAAGAGGCTTTACAATAAAGTTATAATTAGAAATAGGCACATCGTCCCAAAGTCTTAAAAGATTAAGAATGTCCCTAAACCATTTCTTGATGCTAGATCCTGTGTCTTTGGCAGAGTTTCAGCTATCTACTATTTGGTGTTTAAGAACCTTAGCAACTCATCTGGACTGATCCCAGCTTTCAGAGGCATGTCCTGGTTGGATTAATGCTTATACACGCCTCCTAGTATGGAACATATGAGAAAAAAATATCAAAAGAAAATTATAGTCCTTTGTAATGCTATGATTACATTTTATGGGTGGGAAACATTTAAATGTCCTCATACTAGCATTTATTTATTCCTTGTCAGATGTTTTTTCTAAATAAGAGATAACATTATCACTGTTTCTCTATCTCACTTTTTTCAGAGCATCCCAACACATTATTCTGTAGAGGTATTTCTTCATGATCACATTCAATTGAAAACTTAGAAACATGTTTCCTTTCTTTTAATTTGTGTAATGGATACACACCATACAGAGAGTTGTTTCAAAGTTCAGGCTCATTATTTAGGGAACCTATCTTAGGCCTCATAAAAATATTCTGGCTCTCTTTGAAAAAGAATTTCACTGTTAATAAAATAATGTGTGTATTACTTTTTAACAAAGCAGAAGGATTGAGATTTTTAAAATTGCCATGTAATTTTCAGAACAATCTTGTGTGGAAGATAACCATTTCTGCTGTAGCCTAACCATCTCTTTTATCTCTGCTTTTCCAACTTGTGCCTTTTGTATAAAAGGTACAGTTTTTATACTTTTTTAAAATAAAACTACTATAGTTTAGTTAAGAACAGAATCATGTATGGCTGCATTTATATATCATTCCAGACCATATTACACATTTTTCATTTCAGTTTACTCCAATACATGAATTAAGCTATGATGGCACATAACTTTTGGGTTGTTTAGCAAATTGAAAGTGAGTACAATATAGTACAAATCTAGTACAGTATATTAATGAAAGTACAACACATTTAGGAGTACAAGAGCTCTTTTAGGAGCTGTAGTGGCACAGTGATTAGAATTCCGTATTACAGGCAAAATCTGCCCACAGCCAGGAGTTCAATCCTGACAGGGCTCAAGGTTGACTTAGCCTTCCATCCTTCCGAGGTCATAAAATGAGGATCCAGATTGTTGGAGCAATACGCTGATTCTGTAAATCACTTAGAGAGGGCTGTAAAGCACCATGAAGCAGTATTGCTATTTTTCTGCCTTATTGTATTGCACCTAGTTCATTTAATTTTAATTTTCTTTTATACTGGTTTCATGATAAAGTACCTTCAGCATTTAACTGAACAGAGGAAAAAGTTCAAAATGCAAGGACTGATTTTACTTAGGATAAATAAATGCAAGATATAGGGATTTTACTGCTAAGAAGAGATCTTTCTTAAGGAATATAACTGGGACACTGTTTTAAACAGGCAGATGGATGGACTCATGGTTTTTGAGATAAAGGAAATGATTCTCTTGAAGACACTTAAGGGCTGATGCTAATTTGTGCAAATTCTATCAGTTTCAGGGCTACGTTGGATTTTGTGTGCGGCATGATATACAAAAGTGAGCAGTGTGGTGGCTTAATGGTGAAGTCGCTTGCCTCTCATTCTGAAGATTGAAAGTAACAGGAGATATTTCTCTCCTACCTAGGGCACAAGAAAAACTATCTGCTGTGAACTCTGTGTGGCATCAGGAAGGGCATCTGACCAGTAAACACTCAGCTTCATCCAATCACCTTGACTCTACCCTGAATTAAGGGATTAGAGCAGTGGTTCTCAACCTGTTGGTCGGGACCCCATTTGGGGTCGAACGACCATTTCACGGGGGTCGCCAAACAACGCAGTCCACCATTTTTTCCCCCTTTTCCTTGGCTGTGCTACTCCCTTTTATTCTATTGGCTTTTGAAAGCCAATAGAATAGACTCTCTTGAATAGAGTCTAATTCTATTGGCTTTCAAAAGCCAATAGGAATTGTCCAGGCTGTCTCTGCCCTGCTGAGCCCGCCAAAAGTCCCATTCTGCAAACGGTGCTGCAAGTTGTCTGCAGCGAAGGCGAGCTGTCTGGAAGTTTCCACCCTCCCTGCTGAGCAACTACTAAAAATGTAAGTAAAAGAGGGCCAGGGGTGGGAGGTGGGAGGCCGGCGGGCGCAGGGAGGGTTGCTGGCATGCGTGGGGCCCGGCGGGTGCCTTACCTCCCTTGGGCTGGGCCAGCTGGTGGCCCAGCCAGTGGTCGGCCTGCGCCGTCTCTGCCGCTTGCCAGCTACGCCTCGGCCGGCTCAGGGGGCGGCACCATGCATGCACGGTGCTCCCGGGCAGGGAAAGTCCTCGACTTATGATTGGTTGGGTAGTCCTTGACTTACGATCAGTTGGGGTAGCAGCATTAAAAAGGTTGAGAACCACTGGATGAGATGGTCATAAAGGGCTTTTTTAAAATATTGTACAAAAGTAAATGGGATTAGGACATATTAATTGGGAAGAGGGAAAATCTTCAGAAGTGATTTAGCTGAAATGGGATCTTGAGGTTACCACAGTAGGGAGCTTGGCACTCTCAGGATTTTCTATACTGTGTCTATAATTTTCCTTTCTAGTTTTCATTGTAATGATTTCCCCACCAGTTCATTCATTGTTTTTGTTTTGAACAGCAGGGGGAGGTATTGAGCTATCAGTCCTATAGTTAGAATTAGATATACATTCAAAAAGCTCTATCAAATGACTAAATGAGCATTAGGATTAAACTAAATTGCTTCTCAAAAGACAATTGTATTGTTATCTTCCCTGTACAACACCATCTTCTATGCACAATATTTGTCAGGATTAACTTATTTTTGACACTGTGGCAATTTAGCAGATCCTACAATTAAAACCAATTGCATGCAGAGAGGTAAGTAAATAGCATCTGAAGCGTCTTCTTGTCTCATTTTAGTTCAGCTTGAATACCTAGTAGGGAAGGACCTGTTTAATATATAGAGGGAGTTGATATGGGAAGTTATAGGGTCATAGACAAAAAGAAATTGAGAAAAAACCTGGGAGGTTGAACAAGAAAAATAAAAAAAAACCAAAGACAAAATACATTAATATTCTTTTTAGGAAACTACTTGCAAATTTCCAAACTTTAACGGTGAGGATGGGGTGGCATATGTATTTAATAAACAAACAAACAATCAAACAAATTGTTGAAATTGATTCTAGAGCAATGTTTCTTCACTGTTTTGCTGTCAGGACCCTTTCCCACTTTTAAAAATTATGAAAGAGCCAAAGAATTTTTGTTTGTATGGGTTATATTTATCTATCTTTACTGTATTAAAAATTAAAATTCATGCATTTGTAAAATATCTGTAGTATCAGGCAAAAGTAACAATAACATATTAACATAAGTATATTTTTCATGAAATATTCTATTTTTTTAACAAATAAAAATGAGAACAGGTGGCATTATTCTACATTTTTGCAAATACCTTCAATAATTGTCAAATAATTTTGAGTTTGCAGGTCCCTTAAGAGGACCTTGGGGACTCCCAGAGCTCCTCAGACCCCATTTTAAGAAATACATTTGAGTACAAAATCTCTGTTAGCAAAAAGATCTAGTGCATCTAAGAGATAAAGCTTTTCCTTACATACACAAGCTCCTTTGTTCCTCCATCTATGCACCTAAATTACAAAATCAGAAAGACTTCGGTATGAGCCAGTAATAGGTGGTATGCAATTTCAGGATATCAGTTAGTCCCCATGGTGTCAGAATCCCCTCTGAATATACTGTTAAAAATTTACAATTTTTTGTCACCCCTTGAGGTTGAAAATCCACAAGAATTGTCATTTAAACCCTAAAATGTAGATTTTTGAAAAGATCAGAGCTCCCACCCACTAGTTCACAAAGAAAAGAAAAACAAAATTGCAGATGAGACCAAGCTGGCAGGAATAACCAACATTCTAGAAGATAGGCTCAAGATACAAAAGAATCTTGTTAGGCTTGAACCCTGGACTCAATCTAGTTTAGAGTTTAGATTTCCCTAGTTTAGATTTTAAGTTAATAACTTGCTCATTTATCTTATTCATGTTCTTTTTAGTCTCTTTGTGGTTTCTTCTTGAATCTTCTCTATGTAACTCAATTGTCTCTTGAATTGATTGCAATATAAGTTGCATTTCTTTCTGGAAATTATTAGTTGTCTCTGGTGTGCCATATTGTGGTCTTCAGAGGCAGATACTTGGGGTGGTTTTTTACCACTTTTGACTAAATGTGGAGCACTCGTTTTTGTTCCCTCCCTCTATTTATATTTCCCAAATGTTAGTCTTGTTTGACAGGACCAATCTTATAATCAGTAATATACAAATTAAATTTAGGTTTAAAATCATCTCATATAGTTCTTATAGTCTTTATGTGTAGCCTTTGTAGTCCAATAAGTTCCACAATATAGGTCTATCATCAACCAGGGGTATTTTGTCACAATTCTTTTGTCCAGAAGTCCAAAGATTTCAATCCAAACAATGTTTGTAATTCACAGTGTCCAACCACCTTAAAGTCTATCCTTTAATCTCCCCCAGGTAAAAAAAAAAATAACCGAGAGAAAGAAAGTCAAAAGTTAAGATTCAGTCAATATTTGTAGTCCAGAATAGTCAGCAAGTTTTAAAAGAGTTATATCTTCCATCAAGTAGAGAGTAGTCCAAAATATTTTTCTCTGTTGCCAGCTGTTCTCTGTTGAACTGAAAGCTTAGCTGAAGGTCAAAGAAGCTGAGAGTTATCTGTGTCTAGGCATTGTGCCAAATGCTCTGGCCACAATAAGCTTAATGTTGTACCTCTATGTCACTGCTAGATGTCCTCAGATGTCCATTTTCCAGCACTTAAAATAAACAGTTATTTTCACTTTAAAGTTTCTTGAATTTCACCCCAACATTTTTTCCAAAGAGAAAACCCTTAACAGATTTCTCAATTCTGCAATTTGTCAAAGCTCTGTCTTATAGAACTTCCATTTTAGTATTATATTCTTCTTTGTTTTTTCCCCATAAAGGATTCACCCGCCTTTTTTTCTCTGGAAGGGGGGAGCAAAAATCTCCTTCCTTCTCACGCTTGGGGATTTCTTGCTTTATGGGAGTTTGTCTTATCGAGGAATCAAATATCAAAGTAGTAGAGAAAGGATTAATAATCTCACCCAGTTCCATGCACGTTGTTTAAAATGCTGATAATGCTGGTGTTTTCTTTATTCAGTTGTCAATGACTTGGGCTTACCACAGAAGTGCATCTAGTCTTTCCCATGCTGGTTTGGAGGACTTTCCTCAGATCAACGGATCGATCGCCATCTTTTCGTGATCTACAAGGGTTCCCTCCTTCATCGTCTCTCTGGGATGACTTTAGGCCCATTTAGAGCCCCCTGGCAAGGCGAAATCAGCCATGGGAAGTGGAGCCCTACTTTCCTTTGGCTGCAACGCCATGATGTAAACCGGAAGTCGAGATGTAGGTTTCTTAATAACAATCACTTAAGTATGAGCTGGAAAGAGTACAGAGAAGAACAATAAAGATGATTAGGGGAATGGAGGCTAAAATGTACAAAGAATTGTTGCAGGAATTGGGTATGTCCAGTTTAATGAAGAGAAGGACTAGGGGTGATGTGATAGCAGTGTTCCAATATCTAAGAAGATGGAATCAAGCTATTCTCCAAAGCACATAAATACAGGGCAAAAAGCAATGGATGGAAGCTAATCAAGGAGAGAACTAACCTAGAACTAAGGAGAAACTTCTTGGCAGTTAGAACAATTAATCAGTGCAGAACTTGTGGATGCTCCAACATTGGAGGTTTTTAAGAAGAGCTTAGACAACCATTGTCTGAAATGGTATGGGGTTTCCCAGTGGTTTTTTTGGAAAGAAAGAAAGAAAGAAAGAAAGAAAGAAAGAAAGAAAGAAAGAAAGAAAGAAAGAAAGGAAGGAAGGAAGGAAGGAAGGAAGGAAGGTAGGTACCGGAATTCACCCATGTCATACAACCCGCCTTGCCTACCTTACAAGGTTCCATCCAAAAAAGGTGCCGGAACTCCATTCTGGGCGTTCTATGACAAAAAAAGCCCTGGGGTTTCCTTCTTGAGCAGGGGTTGGACTATAACAGTATTCCCCAACCTTTCCAGGTTAGCGGCCTGGAGTGGGCAGAAGGGGGGAAATGGGGATGGTTTTGTGTTGGGGACAGGCATGCACACAAAGCTTCATTTGTGTGAGCAGCAGGTGCAGGCACCCACCGCTCACACAAGTGGGGCTATGAGTGTGTAAGCTCCCTGCTCACTTGAGTGGGGTTGCAAGCACCGACGCACACCGGCCCACCATTCACATGGCCTGGTTGCAAATAGGCCACGGCCTGATAGTGGGCCGCAGCCCACAGGTTGGGGACCCCTGGACTAGAAGACCTCCAAGTTCCCTTCCAACTCTGTTATTCTATAACACCTTGTCCCTTTCTATGTGTGTTACATGGCCCCATCCACTTTGCATTATTCCCTGGCAGCTGTGACATTGGGAAAGTATTAAAGTATGGCTCTTGGCTAGAAAAAGATTTCCTGCCCTTGGTTTAATCATAGGTTGCTGTTAGTTTATCCTATTAGCTTTTTCCAAAGCTGTTACTCATCTTATTTGGTTTTCTAGCTCATGCAAGCCGAAGTATAACCATGCAGATTCTCTCCGTGAGTTGTTTGGCTCTCCAAGGAAGGCTTAATAATTAATCATTAGAATTGTCTGATACAAATATTTCTTGATTGTTTGTATTCAGTACTTTGATTAAATCTTAACATAAAAACTTGTTGTTAATTGCGAAGTCGTGTCCGACCCATCGCGACCCCATGGACAACGTTCCTCCAGGTCTTCCTGTCCTCTACCATCTTCTGGAGTCCATTTAAATTCACACCTACTGCTTCAGTGACTCCATCCAGCCATCTCATTCTCTGTCGTCCCCTTCTTCTATTGCCCTCAATCTTTCCCAGCATTAGGCTCTTCTCCAGTGAATCCTTCCTTCTCATTAGGTGGCCAAAGTACTTGAGTTTCAACTTCAGGATCTGGCCTTCTAAAGAGCAGTCGGGGTTGATCTCTTCTAGGACTGACTGGTTTGAACGCCTTGCAGTCCAAGGGACTGCAACATAAAAACTACGTGAATATTAATTGAGTCAAAAAGAGACAGGATTCATTCAAAAAAAGAGAAAATCTTCTTGCTTAGCACTAAGAAGGCCCTTAATAAAGTTCTGAACATAATTAGACAAGAGATCAATTTCATTTGCTAAATCTTTGCCTACGGGGATGTGATAGAAGTTGTTTCATCTACCATATAGCAGCCCCTTGCTGAGGAGAGGTGCCTATCTGCTGGTAACAGCATCTGTTTAATTATTGTGAGTGCAAGTGTGATCTGGAGAGAACTGCTTGCTTGCAGAAAAACTGTGACTTGGGTTTGCCTGCTTTTCCAAGAATATAAGGAGGCTGAAAGCAATGGGATATAAACAATCACTCACCAAGAAGCATAAGCCAGCTAAAGATAATAAGGAATACGCTGCTTAACATGCTGGAAGTGTAACTTTTAAAATGTTGTGCTGCTAATTGATACAGATGATTGTGCGCAGTAGGATGTGGATTTGGGGCATAGTTTCAAACAGATGGCATCAATATACTTTTTTTAAAAAATTACTCCATCTGTCCAAATATACTGCTTCCCATAGTTCTGTCAGGCAGAATTGCTGTAGTTACTTTAAATGTTAGTTATGTCATATGCTACACCTGGCTTTTTAATGTGTGTTTGCTTTTATCAAGTACTGATTTCAATACTTTCTATGATATGACTCTTGTACAGCAAAAGGAGAGTTGTACATGAGACCATTTTAGCACAGATAAATTTGTATTTACTAGAGCAGGGATGGCGAACCTTTTAGAGATCGAGTGCCCAAACTGCAACCCAAACCCCACTTATGCATCGTTGGGTGCTGGGTGAGTGTGGCCCATTGGCTGGGTGTGGCCCATTGGGTGGGCGTGGCTGTGGTGGTAACTGCAGACTGGGTGGGACTAAAAAGTTCAATCAATCAATTCCAACTTTGCAAGATCTTTTTTTTTCCCCGCGAGAAGTTGAAATTGATTGATTGAACCTTTTTTTTTTTTTTGCACATGGCAGCGGAGGCCTAAAGTGAAAAAGTTTTATAAAACCCAGCTGAAGGCCTAGGACTGGGGCGACGGCACATGTGCCCACAGAGTGGGCTCTGAATGCCGCCTCCGGCACCCGTGCCATAAGTTCACCACCACTGTATTAGAGAAAATCCCAGTTAGGGTTATTATTGCAAAAGTTTGGAAAACTGTGAACCTGTTGAAGCTTTTGCTTACAGTCCAAGGCAGTAAATGGCAGAGGAGAAAGATGGGGAAAGAAAAGAATGGCTAAACCCACCTTTGGCATGTTCCCTGAAAAAAGATCTGATGTACAGAAATGCTAAATTGCCCATAAATCTGGGGGGGGGGAAGGATCTTGACTTTCAACAGAAACACAACTGAGACAAAATTAAAAGCACTCTTTGTTCCTCTCTAGGTAGAATCTGTGTCAGGATTTCAAAGGGATTTACAACAATTCTGATAATGTTTCCATGAAGTGTGTGACTTAGATCAGAAAGCACATGCCATCATATCTAGGTTTAGCAGTAGAAAGGGCTTGAGGCAAGAACCTTAATGGATGTTGCCAGAAGGGCTGGCCAAAACTGATAAATCAAATGAAGCTGCTAAATGCTTTGTCAGGAGACCTGCTTTCCTAAAACAACATTATTCGCTCTGGCTGGATATATCTTTCCTGGACCTCAGATGGATTTATTTTGAGTTTGTTTTAATTGGAGATGCCATAGATTGAAAATTGCATCTTCTGCGTGTGGGTTTTAGGGGCCCCCAAACCTACTGACTTTCCATTGTTATCTGTGAGTGGGGTTCACTCTCCCACTCAAAGTCTGTGCACCATCTGGAGGTTCTTTTGTACTCACAGCTGCTGCTTGAGGAGCCAATGGAAGCCATGGCCAGGAGAGCTTTTTTCACAAATATATCTTGTATGCCAGTTATGCCCATTCCTTATAGGCACTCATGTCTCATATCTCCCAATTGGACTGTTGCAATGTGTTCTTTATGAGCTATGGTGGCACAGTGGTTAGAATGCAGTATTGCAGGCTAATTCTGCTCACTGCCAGGAGTTTGATCCTGACTGGCTCAAGGTTGACTCAGCCTTCCATCCTTCCAGGGTCGGTAAAATGAGGACCCAGGTTGTTGGGGGCAATATGCTGGCTCTGTAAACTGCTTAGAGAGGGCTGTAAAGCACTATGAAGTGGAATATAAGTCTAAGAGCTGTTGCTATTGCTATATGGGGTGACCCTCAAAAAGCATTTGGAAGCTTTGGCTGGTCCAGAAAATAGTGGCATGTGCAGTTAAGGTACACTACAATAGGCCCATGTAACATCATTGCTTTGGCACCATTAAAGTCCAACACAGCATGGAACTAGGTTACTTAGGGGAATACCTCTCTCCAATGGCTTTTGACTGTCCCACCAGATGGGGCAAAGTGGGTATGATCTGGGTGCCGGTGATAAAACAATGTAATTTAATGGGTTGCCAGAAGCATGCCTTCCTTGTTAAGGCACTACCTATGAAACAACCCCCTCAACCATCCTGAAATACACAGTCCATACTCCATTGGCCTTTTACAAAATTGTAAAGAACTGGCTCTTTCAGGATATTAGTATGGAATCTCTGCCACAGGTGTATTTGTTTCATGGTCTTGTCCTTTCATTAAGCCTCAATGAAGTGTTGATTGTTGTTTTTATCTTAATATAAATATCTGTTTGTTTTTAGATAGATAGGCAGCCATATAAATTAGATTAGTAAATATAAATAAATGAGGAAAGGCATGCATTATATCACAATGCTACAGAAATCCATTGAAATATAATGGCCCCGGCCCTGAGTAAAGATAACCTATTTGGAAAGCTATTTCATGGGATGATAGCAAAAGCCAACAATCAGTCCAGAAAAAATAATCAAATGGAATCATAGTCCCCCATTCCTTGTCTAGCAGGGAGTATATATCAGTTGATTTCTACATCAAAACAGACGAGAGATTGAATTAAAATAAAAATAAGAATGCTTAAAATGATATACTGCAGTAATCTTACTCTATCAAATACCTTATGCATATCTGATATCAGAACAGCTCCTTCATATCCATCAAAACCTCCAACACTAAATCCCAATGTCTAAATCATAGTAAATGCCAAGTGCTTTCTTAAATGTACCTTTGAAATATAGGCTGCAGAAGACAACAACATTCATGGGAAGTTTCAACAAGACGACCATTGGAGAGCTGTCATGAATAATATTTTCCTTGCCTCGGTATCTGCATGGCATAAAAGAAAGAAAGGTTTATACATTGTTCCACCACTTACTGCACTATGCCGTGGCAAATTGAAGAGAAGCCCCATAGAGAAACTTGATAGTTATGTGTCTATGGAGATTCTCAGTCATCCAGTCATAGTTGTCTCAAAGGTGCTTTTTCAAAAAAGGCAACTGGAGTCTTTTTTCCTTGAGGAGAAAGACATTTCACTTCTCATCCAAGAACTTTCATCAGTTGTGATGGTGGGAGGAATGGAAGGATAGATTCTGACAGGATGGGGAGGGAGGGGGAATGGAAAGATTGTACTTGTTTGTAGTCATCTGGTCATTCTCTCTCTCTCTCTCTCTCTCTCTCTCTCTCTCTCTCTCTCTCTCTCTCTCTCCATCCCCAAATGACCTCAATGGCTCTGAAAGACAGTGCTAATGACCAGATGACTGCAAAGAAATACAATCTTTCCATCTTCTCTCATCCTGTCAGAAGCTATCCCTCCATCCCCCCACCATCATAACTGATGAAGCTTCTTGGATGAGAAGCAAAATGTCTTCTTTTTCCTCAAGGAAAAAACAGTCCAGTTGCCTTTTTTGAAAAAGCACCTTTGAGACTTGATGGCTATGCTTCTTTTTTTTCTTCACAAACAAAAAAGTATTGTCTTTATTAAAATGCAAGCAATGCTATTATGTAAGGTTTAGTCTCTACTCACAACATTTTTCCAGCTCTACCAATAAATGTAACTGAAACTGGTGGGGTGGGGTAGGATGAAGAGAGAAGACAGGAAAATTAAATAGGTTTTTCTGAGATTTCTTGCTTGCCTTGCTGGTAATCTAACCTTAGCAACTCATTGCCAGGACGTGTTCATAAATAAGAATTTAATAATTGGATGTTCTTGCTTTGACAACAGATGGAAATGCAGCCATTTTTTCTATTGCTTTTAGAATTAGTTGATACTGGGAGGGGGAATAGGGATGAGATTCTAGCTAGTCATAACATAATAACTTAGCCTGCGAACCCAAGGACATTGGGCCCAGAGCTGATAGTGTTTTGGTGCTTCAAGCTAATTGGGGAATGTGATTTATGACTGTTTATTGGAGGAGGGAATTGTACTTTGTTACTTTGTATCCAGGAAGGGGAATTTAGTTTTTGGTTTCAACTATGTAATGCCGATACTTTCTCGAATAAAAGATTCTTTAAGGTAAACAATACCTCGAAGTTTTTTGAAGAGTTTTATCTGTCAGAACCATGACATAATCTATTATACAGAATTTAATTATATATTACAGTTATGAGATTGTTCTCTGTGCTTTTTATACCCCATCAACTCTTCCCTCTGTTTCTTAACATTTTCATTGGTATCTGTGAAAACCATCCACTAGGCAGAATCAATTTAGTTTTTATATTTACTGAGCAATGCATTACTTAACTCTCATCTGTATCTGCCAATTTAGGCAAACAAGGCAAGAACATCTTATCAGTCAGGTGAAAGCAAGCAGAACCTCTGGTGAAGAGGTTCAACAGTGATTTATTGCTAGTCAGCTATGTTACAAGAATCTCCCCTCTTGATCTCTCCCTCCAGTCTAGCTGGATATTCCACATTATCTCTTTATATATACTAAGCACAAAAGGCACAATATAACCCAGGATTAGTGGTATCAGTTAAATGCAACTTTATCTCCAACCAATTTCATTTGCTTGTAGTCACCTAGAACACACATTTCTCAGGTTTTATAACACCACTTGGGAAGAAATAACTCTTACATTTTGCCAGAATACAGTAGGTTAAACATATATACAGTAAGGAAAAAGCAAAGGAAATGTGTAGTTCATTTTCAAAATAGGAGAACAATAAAACTATTTATTTATCAATATGTGTTAAGGATAAATTAATTGATGTAAGAATAAATGAGGGGTTCTTAGTGCTCTCCGAGTTTGGTTGTTTTCTTTCAGATATTTCATTACACAAACTAAGTAATATCATCAGTGCATCATCAGGATGTTTAGATAATATCTGCAAGAAAACAACCAAGCTCAAAGAGCACCAAGGACTCCTTATTTCAACCCTGAGCTCCAAATATTCTCCTTTATTGATAAGAAAAGCATGGAATAATGTGAAAAACCTGTCTAATGCTGAAACAGATAATTGGGCTAGTATTGTCTGTATTCACTGTCTCCAGTCAAACCTCATTCCTTTTGCTTGCAAGAAGTCCAAGAAGATTCAGAGTAAGAAAAGGCCATTTAAACTGCTAAGCCCAGCTCTTTGTACTATACAAAAATTCAATTTGCAAGATCCTGAAAGATGGTTGCCTACCCTCTCTTTAAATACATCCAGCAATGGGAAGCTTATAATCATTCTCCGTAATTGCTTTCACTGTCAAAGTGTTATCATTAGAAAGTTTGCCCTGACAAAATCTGCACCATGTCATACACCAAAAGGCAACAGAATAAAACTTATATTGCCCTTTTGTGGCATTCTGTCAGGTACTTGAAGAGTGTAATCATATTCACCAACTCTCAAGGTTAAATATATTCTTTTCTCACAATTTCTCTTTTTGGGACTGTAGTTCCTGCTCATATTTATGGGAATCAAGCATAGTTTTATCAATTATTTGGTTTATCTTATCCAAATCTGTTAGTAGACAGCATTTGATTCTCCCCAGCCCTATAGCACAATATTCTTCTTCATATTTTCAGTTACCTTCCATGGACTAAAAGAATGGATTAGAGGTGATCTTATTATACTTGCTGTCCAGGTCTCCAACTGTAAGGTGTTACTGCTGTTGATTTTGCTTTGTGTTCTTCATGTAGTTTTAAAACTATGGGAGTCCTTTTTGTATTGAAAGATTTTTTCAGAAATACAGTATATATAAAAGAGTACTATCATCTAACCAATGTAACTGGTAACTCAGTAATAATCTGACTAGTTGTAATCTGTGCATACTTTTTGTTCACTTTTAAAATTCCATGAATTTAATAATCCAAATATATACTAGTACTGAAACTGAACTGAAATTACATTTAATTCAGATACAAGTTTTATAATAATCTGTAATTGATAAAACATTCTAAGATGTTGTATTTGTGAGAGAAATATTAATGTTACAATAAATGGATATAACCGGTTTTTCTTCCCGTATTTTTAATGGTCATATTTTCAAAAGGGAACTGGATTTCAGATGCCCACTGCATCTGACTGACAGAAAGCCCATCAATCATATTATTTGTAAAACAAAAATAAATAAAATTCAGGATACTTTGTAAAGCTGAACATTATAGCTGCATAGAGGTGGGAAAAGCTACTATAGGAGTTCACAGGTTCTTACAGGATAGATAACCTTTATTGTCATTTTTTTTTACTGTGGGCACAACGGCACACATCAAAAATGAAATTTAGTTGCCTGCTCTCAAAATGAAACACATATATGACACACACCTAAACATACCATATACAACAGAAGAATGTAAAAATATCTATTCAGAAATAAGCCATTCATTTATTATTACATTCCCTGTTTGGTAGTCAGGTTGGACTCAGAATGGCTTAGTATTCTTGGCAACAATATTCGGCATTGATGTCTAGAATTCTTTTTTCAATTTCCAAATTTATTTTATACCCCTATTTCCTGCTGTGCCAGCAGCTGTCCAAGGATCTGTTAAAAAATAAAGGCCTAAGAAAATGTTATATATGAAAATACTTATTTTCATTTAAGATCCCTAAATGTATTTATCTGTTAACATATTCAGGCCATGAAAAAAGCTTGGGTGGGAGATTTGGACATCCCAAACCAACCTCATTTCCATTTTTATAAAATGATGGCAGAATTCTAGATCACCAATCCAACCCACCTAAGAATGGACTTTGTCTTGTTGCTGCTTTGGACACAAATTCTATCAGTGTAGGTGTGCTTGCAGTATGTTCACATTTTGATTTTCAGATTTCAGACAAAAGGTGGATAAAAGAGAAGTTGTATCTACTCCAGAAAACAGAACAATTATCAATCTCTATCAAGGCAGGCTGTTGTGTGCAGAAATGTCTTTGAACACTAATACCAAAAGCAATTGTTCAAGACATCCAGCTATGTCACCTGCTTGCTACCAGGCAGCTCTGTTCATTAGTCTGTGCTTTGTTTCATGAGATACTGTACAACGTACAGCCACTTACATTACCTATCCGTTTACATTTTATATGGGTATTATCTATAGCCATACAAAGCCTGTGAGACGATGATCTGATATCTATTTTTCAGGGCAGCAACTCTCCAGTCTATCGCAATTAAGCGTATAATGTACATGATTGCTTTTGTAAGCGGAAAATGGAGCTGCTGCATTACATTATTAAGTTGAGGCCTTCTTAATTGAGAATTATCTCTTCTTTTTCCTCTCCCACAATAAAACTGTACCGAATGGATCTTTCTTCCCTCTTTTCCTTGCACTATAGAATTCAGCAATATTTCTCTATATACGGAAACGAATAAAAGAAGTTAATTCCCAGACGAAGAACCACCACAACAAAGAGGATTGGGGGTGGGGGGAAGAGACCCGACCACGCACAAAGCACCGTGTTCCTAGAACTCTTGGTTCAGTCTCTGGCCCTTTAACGAACCCCGCCCCCACCGCCTCACGTGGCCTCAATGTTTGTGCGAGGCTCGAGCCGCGTCAGCGGAGGGCGTGGCTCGCGTTAAGAGGAGACGGACCTCAGCTAGTATGGCCACGACTGAGACAGTTGGAGGAGGGGCTCTTCCCGGAGGGCGGAGCCAAGCGGGGCGGAGCCAGCGAGAGCGGGGACCTGACTGAGTTGAGAGGGCGACGCTTGGAGCTGCCTCGGGAGCGAGCAGGGACCCGACACTGAGGCGGCTCTTCGGCTGCCCTTTTCCTTTCAGTGCAGGCTGCCGCGGACTCGAGTGTCAGCTCTTAGGTAATGGCTGCTGCTGCTGCTCCGCGGGCTCCGGAGACGCGCTGGAGGAAGAGAGGGTGGCGGGGAGACCAGTGGCCGAAAGAGCTGCGGGGCCTTGGAGAGACTCTCGTCTCGTTCTCAGCCAGGGGCTCCTCGCATCCCCTTCCCTTCCTGTTCTCCCCAGACTCGCTCGGCGACGGGGGCTCCCGGCCCTCCTGTTTTTTGTTTTCTTTTTCCAACTCTTTCCCCCCCCTCCGCCCCCGTGCAAAACCTCCTTCCCGTTTGTCCCTCCTGCCTTCACTTCCTCACTCGCCCTGCCCTTCCCAGCAGCCAAACACCCAGAGCTGGTCCCGCCCTCGCATTATCACAATAACACTCACTATGGCACAATAACACCCAATATGGCACGAAGCGATCCGCCTGCTCGCCCTTCCTCCCTCCTCCGCCTCCCCCAGCAGCCTGCCATCCTTGCATCCTCCTCCTCCTCCTCTCTGGCCGCAACAGCGAAAGGGCTGCCCAGCCTGGACCCGCCGCAGTTCGGCTGCTGCCCTGAGCCGTAGCAATTCCCCGCTGCCTTTTGTCCGGCGCTGCAGAGGAGCCGTAAGGGGTTTGCTTTCCTGCGGCAAATGGGCTAAAGTGCAACCGCGATTGTCCCACGACGAAGGCGACGGTGGGGCTAAGAGCGTGTGGTTGTGGTGCCTTGTCTCTCCCTTTCATTCGAGGCGTCTGGTTTTTCCACTCCGTTGGTTCCTCCTCCTGCTAGGACAACTGTTGAAGGGTGTTCCTGTAAGGAAACCAGTTTTATTTATATGTTTGCATGCCTACGCGTATTCTGAGCGACAATTTAAGCTCTGCGTTGTACTGCTTAGTTTTTCTCCATCTAATGATGTGCCGGTTCAAAAAAAGTGATACTAATCCTTAGGCTTGCTGCAAATCATGTTCAATTACTGAGATATGCTCCTATTTAAAAAGGTTTATTTTTGAGTCTTTTCTTGTTCCCTTCTCCCCCCTCTTCCCCTTCAATACAGCCACTTCACTGACTGGATATAAATTTATCTCTTGCTGTCTTTGATAGCCATAAATGTATAAGAGATTCCTGAATGTAAACGTTTCTAAATATAATGCTGCTGATGTCCAGACAAGCTGCTTTTCCTTCTTTGGCTATAACAACAGGAGGCCTGCTAGTCTCTTGTCAGCTGTTTGTTTTTTGTTGTCAAATCATCTGGGTTCACTTCATTCTCACTGTGAAGGAAGTAGGCAGAATCCTTGCTGATTGGAGAATGCGAGGCACGTGATCATTTCAGGCTGCTTTTCATGGACTGTTGGGCTGGGTTTTGGGTTTCTGGCTCTTCTGGCGGAAGTGGCAGAAGTAACTCTTGCAATATTCTGTAATGATTGTGGAAAGATTTGTAGCACAGCTGCTCACATGATTGAAATGCTATGGGGGGGGGGAACAATTCTCTTTTTATTTCTCTGATTAATTCCTTAGTTCCAAATGCCTGATCTCTAACTAAGAGCGGTATTCCAATGAATTTGCATTAGCTGTGTGGAAAATACAGATTTTAACAATGCTTGATTCATTCAGTATTCCACTTTTGTAAAAACTGAACCTGAACTATTTTATCTAGTAAAGCAGATTTTTGATGTAGCATCCTAATATATTAAAAATGCATTAAAATGATTTCTTCAGATACAACAGAACTTACTTATTTCACATTTGTTTAAGGAATTACAAAATGTATACCAGTCCCCAAACAACTACCCTCTGAAAGATTAACTGGCTCAAACTCACCGATTTGGCTTTCATGCCTTAAGGAGGATTAGAATTTACTATCTTCTGGTTTCTAGTCTGGAATGTTAATTGCCATGTTGATGGAACTGCATTTAATCATCTGTGCTAACTGTAATGAAGATATATTTATTTTATAATTAAAATGTTTCATGAATCAAACACACATATAGATCTCTTTAGTGCACTCTCTAAGTTTATTAAAATATGCTTTTAAAAGAGCGTTTCTTCAAAATAACTCTTAAGATGTATCTTTCTTTGTTGATAAATATATGTAAATAGGAAAACCTAATGGTAATAAATAAATCTAATAAATCCAGACAAAGAATGATGGTGAGGGAAGGGGATATATCATGAAATATTCTGAAGGTGGTCAGTGAATTAAATGTGCCTTAAGCATCTGAATTAGCTTTGGACTTTCCTATAGGATCAGGTCTTTACACCTGAAATAGGATGTTAAATCATTATTTTAAACTGTCTGTATAGACTCCTGGAATGGATAAAATTAATAAAGTAGGTAAAACATGGTGCTCATGTTTTGGGGCATGAGTAGTTTTAAACTGTTCATATGAATGCAGTGAATTTCCCCAATTGTCTGCAGATGACTGCATTGCATATGTCTGGAAAACACATACGGTAGTTTGAATTCTTTAACCAACGTTATACGGATCATGGAACAATAAATTGGCCCCTTTCATAATCTTTAAATTCATTTTTTTGAATTAATAAAACCAGACAAAAATAAAATATATATTTAATATTTTTTTAAATCTATAACCACTGTAATTTTAAAATATGAGACATTTTATGTTTAGTTAGTAAGATAATAGAACCAGAGTTGGAAGGGGTCAATTATACATTGAACCTCAGTTTAAAATAAAATACCCATGTGGCTGAAACACAAATTGAAAAATGCTAGTGGGCAAGTGATTTTTTTTTTAAAACATCAGCCCAGTAAGAATTTTATACATTATTCTATAAGGAAGAGTATGCTAGGTTTTTCCATATTCCTTGTTTTGTTGAAAATGGGTAAAAAAGAACAATGACAACAACATAATATCATCTTTATGTCTTTTAAGATTTGATATCTCAAAAGCAGAGTTCCTTCCCCAGTGGTTTGTTAGGTGAATATTCTTATTTTCTGAGCAAGGGGGTCAACTTTGCCATCTGGTCTCTGTGTAAAAGATGTGAAATATAGTCAGCTTTGAATCTAGAGCAGTGGTTCTCAACCTTTTTAATGCCGCGACCCCAACCGGTCGTAAATCGAGGACTACTCAACCGGTCGTAAGTTGAGGACTACTCAACTGGTGCAGCACCGTTTGCAGAATGGGACTTTTGGCGGGCTCAGCAGGGCAGAGACAGCCTGGACAATTCCTATTGGCTTTTGAAAGCCAATAGAATTAGACTCTATTCAAGAGAGTCTATTCTATTGGCTTTCAAAAGCCAATAGAATAAAAGGGAGTAGCACAGCTAAGGAAAAGGGGGAAAAATGGCGGGCTGCGTTGTTTGGCGACCCCCGTGAAATGGTCGTTCGACCCCAAATGGGGTCCCGACCCACAGGTTGAGAACCACTGATCTAGAGGGCAGTATTCATAAGACAATGGAATGTAGGCCACAAGCAGAAACATAAAACATTTTGGAATAGTGTAATAGAGAATATTTTCTATAAATTGAGTTTTACATTCTCATATGAAATACAGTTATATAGCTAGACTACAATAGTATATGGTGTAAAATGTCTTTTTTGTTTTGTGCCTCCATATGATGGCTTTTAGTGATTGTTTTCAGATTTCCAGCTTGATTTATTCTTTCAAGAATGATGTTTGCAATCTAAAACTAACAGAGTTATATACTGTAGTTTTTAAACATTTATTTGTGTAAGCACAAATCTGCCTAAATAAGCCTCTTATATGCTTTGTAGATAGTGAGATGTGTAATCTGACAGTTGCACGTGGCTGGTTTTATCAAGTTGGTGAAGATGTGGTCCTGACTAGGGCAAAGATACAGCAACATTACTAAACTGAATTTCTAGGGACACTCCTCTCCATTCAAAACTTGCTTACATAAATATCTTGGCAGGAAGGGAACAGAGCAGAAATGTTGGATTCTGCAATATATAGAAACATATTAGATCAGATTACCTTTTGGGATCAAAACAGCATTGTTTGCCTCAATTATTCAATCACAGCTTTTGGGAAAACTACATAATGGGGTCTCTCAAGCAATGATTGGGTGGTAGAATCAGTTAAAGAGAGCAAGAGCAGGCAGGCCAGGGACAGGTCACAGGCACATTGCTTCATAAAGAATTGTTGGAGGTTTTGTAATAATACAGAAGTGATATGATTAAGTGACTGCTAGAGTCAAAATGAAAACCACAGAATGAAATTACTATGATGACTCAAGCTGGGTTCAGAATAAACTTGAAGTTCATCTAACTTGAAAGATCCCGAATAACATTGAAGCTAATGGCATGGAGAGAATGTCAGAGGAGGTTTATAGGAGAGGAACATCACCTTTCATTTTGTTAAAGAAACAACAAACCTGTTTCTCCTACATGGAATTATAGATTTACATATTCTTGTGATACAGATGGGCAGCTGGCTATTGAAGAGATAGGGGGAAAAAGAATCTGTCTGCATTCAGAGTTGTTGATTATTTTCTAAAATAAATAATAAAAGTAATGAAGTGATTTTTCTTGCTTTCTTTTTGGTGTTTGCAAAGCAGCATGGAGATGGATTGTGTCTGAGCTATTTGCAAATCATCTGATTTTTGCCTCTCTTTTTTTCACTATGAAGGCAACTCGTAATAGATATTTTTTATAGATCTGATAACAAGAGAGTGGGATAAGAAGGTGGAAATATCTGTTCATTTAAGTAGCCACAATTAATAT